TAAGTCAGTAGTTAAGTCAGTAGTTAAGTCAGTAGTTAAGTCAGTAGTTAAGTCAGTAGTTAAGTCAATAGTTAAGTCAGTAGTTAAGTCAGTAGTTGAGGCAGTAGTTGAGGTAGTAGTTGAGGTAGTAGTTAAGGCAGTAGTTATGGCGACTCTTATTGGATCGCTCAGAACATCAATTAATGTCACTGCAGTGTCTTTGGCCGGGAGGACCTAGGTTCGAGCCCCGACGTCGCAGGATTTTCGACACTAGCTACATAGCTAAGCCGAGTTCATCCAGTTGTCTGGTCGAGAATCCTAGCAGCTGGCTGCTAGGATCGGTAGTTTTCCGTGTTTTTCCCGTCATCTGGCGAATGCCGGAGCAGTACCCAAACAAACGGGCAACGTGCGATCTTCCCTTTCTATTCCTTGTTCTATCCATACTTACGCATACTCAAGTACTACACTACCCACGTCGGGAGATCAGTTAGAAGTTTTGCGTTTGTCCCGGCAGGGGTGTAGCCCTGTTGATGGGAGATATCTGGTTGAGGAAAACCCCGCAAGCCTTCGGGTACGTCAGCGTCTGATCATCAGTGGAGAAATGTCGCTACCTCCCGCGATAAAAACATGCACTACACTTACGAGACGGAGCACCTTAGCAGTTGCGCGTCCGGAATCGCTAATCAAACAACTAACGCTTAAATGTCAAATTGTCGCTGCTATACTTTCCAAGAATTCGAAGATTCCCAATTTCCGGCAATTCGAAAATTTCATCAATTTAGTACGGTTTTTGAGTGTTTTTTATAAATTGCTCGAAAAGTGCTAGGTTCTTTAACTATTACCATCTATTTATGACAATCTGATAACTAATTATGACATTGATTTCTTAAGTGGGAGGGCTACATCTCCCCCTCGTTGATTCCAGGCGCGCCAACAGTTGGAGTCAGTAGTCCTGTAAGTGTAGTGAACGTTGTATCCCAGGAAGTGGCAGTTTGCCTCTTCCGCTAGAGAGGCACGCGGTGTTTCTTTCCTCTAGTTACCTCACCAGCAGAGCATCCTCCCTGACGGGACAAGCTCTCTATACCCGACATATGTGGTAGTCTAGTGAATGTACGAGTGTGTGTGTGTGTGTGAGTGAGATAGATAAAAGAGAGAGAAGGAAAGAAAAGGGACAGAAGCGGATGATAAAGGAATGATCGACTGCGATCCGTGGTCGGTTTGTTAAGATCCTACTCCGACATTCACCTCGTATAGATTGTAGAAACCACGAAAAAACATGCACCTGAGCAGACTGTCGTTAGAATTCTCCTGGCAGCAGTTGAATTCGACGCAGCCCTCTAGAACGACGCAAATCTACTACCGATGACCTCCCGGAACAGTTGTTGCAGTGACAACAGTTGTTGCCCTGAGCCATCCCAACTAGCGAAACCCATCATAACGCTCAGGTCTTTACTGCTAATAGAACTCATGCTAAGAACATTCTATTGCGCGCCGTATATCAAATTATAAAGGCACACGTAAATACTGGCAATGAGCACTACGTTCTCCGCGGCAGCGGAATAGCGTGAGTACTAGAAATAAAGGAGATAGTGCTAATGTGATTCGCTTGACAAATCGTCGGCGTCACATGCCAACACTAATTGCTCTCACTTTCCCCTCTTCGCCGGCGATAGCTGCCATGTACTGTGTTAAAGGCGCATGAAAGATAGCATCTCATTAAACAAACAGAATACCTGTACAAACATTTCGTAGTCTGCATATTATGTACCACAACTTCGAACACAGATCTTTTGAACTGTGCCTTGCATCATATAAATCTGAGTGTGCAGTTAACATTCTAATATTGCTATAATAAACAAAGTCACATTCCAGTATGATCAAATTGCACAGAATACCAAAAAGCCTATTTAATTTCACATTCTGCGCCTTTCGGACCACCCGTGCTAAATAGTCGAGACACCAGATTAGTTAGCCAAAAATGTAATAGAAAGTCCAGAAAGATCCAAATTTTTACATTTTGTTCTTAAGAACGTATTCGGAGGCCCACCGTGAGCTAGAGGGTACGACGCACCGACAGAGCGAGCCAGAGAACAATAACTGCTACTTTCAATGAAACATTGTATTTCAACTTAATATGACTACTATATAGAAGTCTGTTCAAAGCATGTTGTTTAAAACATCACTCTTCGTTGTACTTTTGCGTTGTGAAAATGAAAATGAATACTGACAAGAGAAATAAAAATGTATTCGGTTATTTTCTTATGGTGGTGCGTTACGGCTGCATTTAGCACAAATTGCGATGCATTAAAACCTTTCTAATTGCTTGAGTTCTCTTCTCACGATCATCACCGTCTCATTGGACGTTATTTACGATTAAACTTAGTATTAGATAAAATCTCAATTCAGGTAGACCGTAATCCAAACTCCTGCCAGAGAAACTTAGTTTTCTTTCCACAATTTGCCACAAGTTGCTTCTAACTATTTCAAAGGAATTAGGGAAACAAAAGAGCAATCACCGTCCTGTACAATCCTGAGCTTTTGCTCGCCGCTACTTACACTTGACGCACGTCGCCCAGATGAAGCTCATCAGCACCAGTCGGCCGGCGCTCCTCATGGTGACTGGCCCCGGGCACCAACTCGCACGAGAAAGTGGCCCCAACAGCGGCGCCCTATCACACGAAATTTGTC